TTCCCACGAGATGTTTGCTATCTTTAGTAACAAATGGTAACTTAACACTTTTGTGTTTTATATGGGAGTATATTCAATTAGAGCTGACAAGTTATTGGCTACTGTTCCCAGTATATTACACGAAAAAGAAGCTTTCATTTCTGGACAGTTTTTATGTCTCTGTAGTGGCAGTTTAATATTTTTATTTGATGGGCATTTTATGACATTCTTTTTCAGTCCGATATTTTTAAAGGTAAAAAGTATGAAAACTGTTAAAATGTTCTTAGAAGACTGCGTGGCACCAAGTTAAAGTGCAATTTAATTAAATCAGACTTTCAATGTGTCAGAGAGGTTTTTTCGTCTTTCTTTCTATTTTCAGTGAAGTAGTGTTATTGCGTTGTGTTGTGTGAAAAGAGTAAACTTACGACTCGTATAAAATGCAAAAAGTTCTCTTGAGGACATTTGTGCTAATTGTTTCTGCGCATCCTTATTGCGCACCCAAATTCACACACCACGTCATGCATTGAGTACACATGCAAAGTGCTAAAATGAACAATGATAGGGCAGATGGCCATTGTTATAGCTTTGCGTGGATTTAATGATCTTGGACGTTTGGTGACCCCTACTTTTCTTACCAGAAACGATTTTATCTACAATTATCGCCACATTGTCGAAAAAATGGACAAAAAATCAATGTGGGAAGTTAAAAAAATTCACTTAATAGCTCCACTTAAGCAATATTTGGCAGAGAACATTTCACTTAAAAGATCTAATTGCAGTATTTTTGGGCTTACAGACACTGTGGCCACATTTGCTCTACGAAACCCAATTTTTTCAGATTTAGGGTGTTCTTCCAGGCATGTTCTCTCCAAAATGAAGTTCGTCACCCCCCCATTTTTTTGTCTTTTTGGCAAAAGTAGATCATTATCTTTCTGTGTGGCAAGTTTAAAAAAATCTGTATGTGGGAACATCTTGGGCACGAATGTCCTTAACTTGAGTATTTTTGAGCAAAAATTCATCTTAGGGGTTGGAAGGGCTATGTGATCGGCGAGTGAGAGTGTTTTGCATGTGGGCGTGTCACACCAATGACAGTATGGGTTGTATCAAAGAATGAATCAAATTGCCTGTTAGAAGATAAGATGGTATCTACATTAATATGGAGAAGTGTCAGATTACTGTAGTTTGTTCAGTCAAACATTTTATGGCTTGCTATTTAGTTATTTTACCATTACCGAGGTAACATCGTTCATTGATGCAGGATAATATTGGCCAAGTAGCGCTGTTTACCTTCAATACTTCTCATTGAAACGCTTCCCAGTGGTATCAATCAATATTGTTGTTATTAATTTTGAATTGTTTCGTTGTTAACAACAAAGATGGCAACAGAAAAAGAAAGTATTCTTTGACTATCTGATAATTAAATTAGTTCTTGTTCATCTGTGATAAGAAAATTTGTGTTTTGAGAAAAAACAAAATTGTTTCTCTTCCATTTCTTTGTCAGATATTTAACTTTCTTTCATTTATCCACCAAAACAAGCTCATCTTCTGTGTGTTCTGGAGAAAACAAGAGTTTCCTGTTACATACCTTTGCGAGGAAAACAAAAGTATCAAGGTACAAAGTTAGAACAAAGAGCTAAATTGTCACATTTGTTCAACGTATTATTGAATTTAAAATGAATGAAAATCATCGTAAAACACCAGAGTAAAATTTAAAAGCTGTTGTGACAAACAGTAACTGTACGTAATTTTCGGACCTTGAATGAAAATACAACCTTGAAATGTACTCACTGCTAAGGGGAAAAGCCCTAGCAGACTACCAAGGTAGATACAAACTGGAAGTGAACCGAGCGGGGGTGAGTACTTTATGGGACTACCGTGTCAGAGCTATTAATTGCAGTCTGCACTATCTGAGATTGTCTCACTAGTTTTATTAGAAAATGCCATTAATGCGGCCACTCCGTTAACACGGTCAACAGCCACATTCTGAAATTCCAACCTGTATAATGCTTTGAAATTTGACCCTGTTAATATGGCCACTTGA